CTCAGCTGCAGTGCAAGAGCTTCATTTGGTAAAAGATGCCACGTGAAGGGCCACTTTCCCAACTTCTACAGCAATGTTGCACAGGACTTTGTTGTGGGTAGCAGGAATGAAAAACAGAAAAGGAGCTGAAAACAAGACTAATAAGAGAGCATTCTCTCAACTGATGAGAAGGCCAGCGCAGCAACAGAGGCATTCATCTTAACAAAGCACAGGAAATCCTTCACCAGTGGTGAGATGGGAAAGGAGCCAATGGCAATGGCAACTAAAATGCTATTCAAGGACCACAAAAGTGCGGCAGAAATCTTATCAGCCTATTGCAGAAAGAGCACACACTAGTTCAGCGCTTGTGTTGCTTCTGCACAGCCATTGGAGCGGTTACAATGGGACATGGCCAGTGGTGAGTGGCTGAATAGTTCTGTGTCAGTCCTGTTTAGTTGAAGGTTCTAAACCTCCAATTGAAATCCAGCTAAAATCTCAACCACGGTCACAACACTCCTGGAACCAGACAACTAAGCACCTTCACCGTGAGCCTTGAAAATGTTGAAATTCCGCATCCTATTGTGAAGCAGCGTATTCTGACATAAATAAAATTAAAATTCAGAACCAGAGACACAGAGGAACACGACCTCCTGTTTTTGTTTTGTTTTTGTAGAAAACAAATGTAACTGAATAAATGTAACCTTCAGACATTTTCATTTATTGAATTTAGCTCTTGGAGCTCAGAGGGTTGGTAACCCCTGATAATCAGAGTTAAAACTCCCAAAAGAAGTTTCTTACTACACAAGTTAGGATGCATAAAAATGATCCGTGCATCTGTTCCCTTCCACTTATCCAGAGTCGTGTCGCTGTGGCACCAGGCTCCAGAGGGCATTGTATTCAGATCGTTGTTACCATTTAGCTATACTTTTTTTTTTTAGCGCTAAATGTAACAAAGAGCTGAGTACAACCATCCCAGCATTAAATAAAGTTATCATACGTGTGTGTATGTAAATTCTCAAACAGTTTGGTCGTTTTGAGTTCAGCAGTGACGTTCATCCATTAAAGGCAGGTTTCTCCAAATGTCTTGTGGGGACGATACAGTTAAAACTACTGTGCCAAAAGCTTGATTCATCTTTATGTGATTAGCTAATAGATATTATCTTTTCAACTGTAAATGTGAGCAAATGAGTCTGGATAAAAAATAGGCCTTTATTGTAAAAGTGGGAATACTTTGAATACTGGTCAACTGGTCTGGTTCTTTGCACCATGTTTTTGCAACCGTGTCTCTGCAAAATTATATTGCAAAAAAACTAAGCTGCATTCTCGGTTACATTTTGAGGAAAATGTGTTTTCTGCCATATTTTGCTCATTTGTAAGGCATCATATATACATTTCTAGTCAACATATAGTTGCCATTTGTTTGTTTTTTTGTTTGTGTTTTTTGCTTTAGTGTTGCTTCTATCAAGTCAACCAGTCAGATACTAGATGGAGCTTGACTTGTTGTTTTTAATGTACATTTGGGAAAAAAAAAACATTTTTAGTAAAAAGTAAGTAGCTGGTGGAGATCTAGTAGAACCAGTGACCTTCACAGTCTCCTTATCAGAACATCTCTGAACATCTGTTAGGAAATCCCAAACATGTTGTGTGCAAACAGCCCTGAAAAGGTCTCCATGCAACTTTGGAAAACTGAATGAAACATTAAAACTGGCTCTGATGAGAACCACCACAGAAAAAGAAAACCAGGAGTCAATTCTGCTGCAGAGGAAAAGTTAATTTGAGCCTCCGAAAAAACAATTAAAAAAAAAAAGTTATATATGGGATGGTGGAAGTTTTTGGCAGGGTGGCATGATGGAAAGGCGTTATGAGATCCTCAGATAAAAACACAATTCTACTTCTGTAAGTAAATAGAGTCAACAAAAGATCAACAAATATACTTTGACAATATCTACTGTCACATTTTGTTGATGCATATTATTGTTTTTAATGATGGACAGCAGAGACATCACCAAGTCCATCCATCCATCCATTATCTATACACC